TTGGAACCTCCCTGCTAAAAGTACTGATTTAATCATGTTGCCCTCCCTTAGAGCTGATCAACTGTAGATTAAAAAAAACAGTCTTGTACAAAACTACTTATGTGTCTGTTTGTCAAAACAGCGATATCATATTAAACCTCAAGAAAACACAGAAATATGTAGCCAATCTCTTTTTAGCATAGAAGGCTTGAAAAGGTATCTTCTTTCTTTCAAGTAATCTCAAGAAATCAAAAATCAAGAAAAGTAAAGCCTCTTATTTATTTCTGTGGACTACAGAGAGCACAATAACACTATCTGTTAGAGAAAATTCTCAGCTAAAAAAACCTGTTTTTCAACAGAGTCACCACCATTAGCTGTGCATTTTGTCCAGCAATGAACAAGACCTGCATGCCGCACTCCTAAAAATCTGCACCAGCAGAGAAGACCCACTGTTACACAGCTGCTAAGATGGCATTGCTCTCTTGAAATACCTGAAAGGTGATTGCAGCGAGAGTGGGGTTGGTCTCTTCTCACTGGTGACAGGTGACAGGACGAGAGGAAATGGCCTCAAGTTGCGCCAGGGAAGGTTGAGATTGGATCTCAGGAAAAAACTTCTTTACAGAAAAGGTTGTTGATCACTGGAATAGGTTCCCCAGGAAAGTGGTTGAGTCACCATCCCTGGAGGTGTTTAAAAACCGTTTGGATGTGGTGCTCAGGGACATGATTTAGCAGAGGGTTGTTAGAGTTAGGGTAGTATGGTTAGGCTGTGGTTGGACTTGGTGATCTTTAAGGCCTTTTCCAATCTGAGCAATTCTATGATTCTATGATTCTAGGATTGCTGTGGAAACATACCACCCACTGCCTCACTGTGCTCACATCCACTGTTTGGTCTTCAGAAACATTCAGCAATGTTTTGCCAATGAATGTCAATGGGTGCCATTTTTTCTGCATAAAAGAATTCAGTTCAACACCTTTGCTTCATTTGCACTTCCACGTTAGAGGCCATTCTATCAGACTGTCCCTCTGCTGCCATCTGTCACACAAAAACAACATGTAGCAGGCTACTGGTGGACAGGTTCAAACTCTATGGCCATATCACCAACATCTACCTCTGATGTCATGGGACGACATCATAAAACAGGAGGCATTACATTCAGAGCAGCCCTTGTGTTTCTCTTAAAATCCTGTGCAATTCATAAATTTTTTTGTCATGTGTAGGTATGACAGTAAACTTGCCCAGTACAAAAGGGCAATGCCATTACCTTCTGGCATCCAAGCACCATGATGGTTCAATTTGAAAACACTGGCATTTCATTTTCTTGGGACTTTTAACTGCTATCCTTGCAGCAGAAAGGAATGAGAAGGGGAAAGAAATGGAAGGAAAAGGAAAGAACATGCAACTGTGCCCACAGGTACAAAGACCAGCAGCTGAGCAAAAGTATTGTGCGAAAATGGCAAAATTACAGGAACAAATCATTAAAACTATCTAAATACGAGATTTATCACTCTAAATATAAGTACATGCATAGATGTCTATAAGTATTTAGATAATGATATAGTTCTTAAATTCATATTGAAATGGGAATTAAATACCTAGAAAACTTCTAAGATCACAGATTCACTCTTTGTTCTTAAAAAGCAACACTCTTAGGACTTCTGATGGCTATGCACAGTAATAGTAATGCAATGTGGTAAGTTATGTCATAAAGAGTTTTGAACACTTCAAAATTCATGATTGCTGGCTGACTCTTAGATGAGAAAAATTAAGAACATGCTTACTCATTGAGCTCTCAAGTCTACCACTAGAGTTTAAGTATTCTGACAGGGACCCTGCTCCATCGCATCTCCTGACAGTGCTATGGCACTGCTGGTGAAGTCAACAGCTGCTATTCTTGTGGCAATTCTGAACAGCACTTAAATCGTTTTTGCTCAAGGTACCCAACCTCCTCCTACTCTGAGATATATATTGTTAATATACTTCAAGACAGAAACTTGAAAGATCTAAAAAGTATTTGACATCTGGCACGGTGACTCAATTAATTACCATGCTGAATTAATTAGCCTGCTCGCTCTCCTGAGCCAACCGCATTGAGTCTTTATTCAGCACTGTAGCAATGACTGAAATATGAAGCACTTTCACATGATATAAGTACTGACTGTATAAAGTGCTGGGTGAAAGGACAGCAAATAAGCAGTAACTTACTGCTTAGTGAATCCTAAGGCAAGTGAATCCTGTGAGGCTAAGTGTCATATATTGCTAACACTAAAAATCAGTGAAGTCAAGTAACCACCTACTAGTAACCACCAGCATCTTTTCCAAGGAGTCCAGCTGCAAGAATTGTGATACTTACCCGAGTTTCACTGATTTTTTCTTCCTTTTCTCTCTACACTAAAAATGCACGTTAAAGCTTTTTCCAAAGACTATTTGATGTCTATAACAGTGCAATATTTGAAGTTTTCATTAAGAAATGAACTAAAGCTGACATCAGCAGCTGATGTGAAAGTTTGATTCAATTCTAGAGACGTAAGGCTTTACCCAAATGAGCTTTCCAAAACCGATATAAATAACTTAAGCAAACAAACACAAAGTCCCCTTGTGAACAACTGAGAACATGTATGGCAATGAGGAAAGTAATCAAATGTGCAAAGCAAACAAATATCATAAATAAACGAGGATCATTTCAAGGGAAAAAAAAATGCTAAAGGAAAAACGTAGAAGTTGGCACTGGGTTTGTGTCATTTAAACGGTAAATTAAGGATCTATCAAAGGATTTACATTTATTTATGCAGCATTTGAAACTAACAAAAGTAGGACTGCAGGAAACACCTGATACTTGGGAAAAAGGAAACATTACTTAGAAACACAGAATAATTCAGGGCAGAAAGCACTTCCTGTCCAAACTTCTGCTCAAAGCATGGCAAACTTCAGTTAGACTCAACTTCAAAGATTACTCAAGATCATATCCAGTTCAATTTTGACTGCCTCAGAGAATGGGGGTCAAAACAATATTGCTAAGGACTACATTTCTGTTTACAGGAACTTTTTCCAATTACAAAAAGCATTTATGATAAATAGAAGGCACAACAAAAATAAAATCTATCATGTCAGCAAAAATTACAGTTTCTAAAAGGACAAGAAGCAAAGGAGGATCTTTCCAACTTAGTGAAGACAGAAGTCATTCTGAACATTTTTATCCCACATCTCCCTGAATGAGGCTGAGAAAGTTGTTCCATCTGAGGTTAACCACCAAAATAAAAAGTCACGACAGTTTTATTAAAAAACAAAATGTTTTAGCTAATTGTTTCTGTTATGGCAAAAATCCAAATTTCAAAGTAATAGCAGGCCCTAATGTATGCCTGTACAACTGAAGGAGAAGAAAGCTCCTGAAGGAAGGATTACAGTTATTCCATCCCTGTTGCAGAATATAAAAAAAACAATTGCAAACTGATCCTAAGGATATCTGATGATGATAATTTTTGTAGTGACAGCTCAGTCATCATGAGCTCCCATACTCAAACATTAACTTCAAATTTCATACACCTGAAGAAGTGGTAGAAGTGGTCAGGGCAACAGGAATAACACAAAGCTAGTGTTTTTCCTCAAGTCTTATATGCGGACTGACCACAAGACACATCAGTACTAAGGTTTTTGTTGCATGGATGTTGATGAGGTAGTGACTGTGGAATCTGAGAAAGACCACTTGAGTCTCAGATAGTTGTCACAAATGAGATTTTGTGAAAAACATTTTGAGAATGCTTACAGACTAACAGACAAAGAATAAAGCAGATGAAGAAATAAAAACAAAATAAAGGAAATGGAGAAAATGGGGACAGGCATTCAAATTTTCCATTTTTCCCTTTCTAAGTGTAAGACTCTTTCAGTGTCTAGTACTTCTGAAAATACATCTTTTATCCAGGTGACTGACCATTTACAGAAAGAAATATCCAGCAAGCGTTTAGAAATAGATCTCAAAAACAAGAGCATAGGTTCTCCAGGGAAGAGTGAAAGAATTTCAGCTTCCTCCTCTCCTCCCGCTTCACATGTTCCCTCTCATGTGTCCACTGATGCTGCTTTAGCAACTCAACACTTCCCACTCTTCAGTCCCTCCAACAACAGGATGATATCCCTTACACTGGGAAGTTCAGCTTCTCAGTTTACAGCAGAGCTGCATCTGCCCCAGATGTGTGTAATACACTACTGTGTAATAGTTCCCCGGATCTTTATGTTAATCTCTTCCTGCAAAATCTGTAATAGCAAGTGATAGAGCTGAAATGATTTTTTAGTAGTATCTCATGGGGCAACGTATAGTCTCAAATTGCCTAAACCCCTTTTTCTAGAGATGTTTGTTGCTTTTTTTTTATTATGGGCTCACCTTTCCAGATATTCCTGGAAAACTGATCTGAACTATATACAGATAATATTGAAGATCAGGGTTAAAACCTATCCAAACAAAAATGAAATGAAGACCTAGGAACAACATGGATTTTCAGCATATGGAACTGAGGTCAGCAAAGTGTTAAAAGTAATATGGACCACATACTTTCTGCATCAAAATAATAATTTAAAAAGTAAAATTAAGAATATATTACATGACAAATGTCTTTCAGTATCTTCCAAAAAACTGCAAGCCGATGAGACATTTTAGTATGTTCAATAATCTTATTATTGAGGCAGACTTAATAAATTTTAGCTTCTATGTCATTCAATAATATAAATTAAATATCGAACAACTGATGCTATGAAATATTTAGAAGATACTAAAAATCAGATACTGGTGCCGAAAGGGAGCAGTGTGGTTCAGAAAACAAGGAAGCAACACTTCCTTTCTTCCTGTAAAATCACAAGATGACTATTATTAACCTGTGTTCCAAATAACTTCACGTGGACGGCTGCCATAGGTGCACTAACTGGAAGTGATCCCAATACCACTGCCCACGACAGCTAACAAGTTCTGTTTTCCAAGTGCTCCAGCTGCAAAATGACCCCCAAGGATGCAAGGTGCCCGGGATCACCTACGTACCAAGGTGTTGTTGTTGAGATCCATCTTCCCAGTGAAGGGCCCCCACGTCGTCCCCACTGGGAGCTGCTGCCGGCTCTGGACCTTGCGCTCCCCATCCTTCTGGACCACCTCCAGTTCCCCTGCAAACAAAGAGCACAAACAGTGTTCAGAGTGTTCACTCCTACCCTGACAGCAGACACCTCCATGTTTGTTATGTATGCATGGCATTCAGAGGATCCCTGGAATGAGAATTAATTACACTTGTCTGAAAAAACAACCAATCTGTTCATCCTGCAGAAGAAAAACAAACCTCTTTCTTTACAATTCTATTCAAAGGTGATCTAGGAGGTTATGTTTTTTTCTACCTTTTCACAGGCAGTATGGTTTGAAGGAATTCTTAGCCAGATGAGTGGATTCAAGAAAGTTCTGAAAAAATGCTGAGGAGGGGGAAGATGATAGCTGAGAGTGCAACAGCCCCTGGTACATGAGCCTCCGTGATCCATTTCACTGTCAGAAGAGCACACTCTGAAGCATTTGGCTCCCAAATACTTTTTAAACATATTTCACAGTGAGAAAATCCAGAGCATCTCCACTGATTTTGAAGACACAACTAAAAATATTTACTAGAATTAATTACAACAGTAGAGATTTTGACCAGAGTGATGTACAGGAAGTAACTGTTCACAATTAGGCCCAAAATAATTTAACTTGCTAGATTAAGATTTTAACACAACATGCAAAAGAAATGAAAAGGTAAAGAGTGATTTATTATTATTATTATTTTTAATTCTTCCTTTTTCATATGGATATTTTATTTTAGAAAGTACAGACTTTAAAATTAACACCTTAATATGTTACTTCAGTTCACTTTAACTTCTCCAATTCTGTTAATTTTATTACAGGGTTAAAAGAAAGGACTGTGGACAACTCTTTGCAAAGCAATTTCCTCAACAAGTCTGTTCTCCTATGAACAAATACTACAGTTAAAAGTGCATTAGCAGCCACATTCACATGCAAAATTACACAATTTCTAGTGTTCTTCTCTAAAACAATAAATTCTGTTTTCCAACTTCAAGAGGGATGAGACTTCGCAGTCGGGATGGATTTAGTGCTTTCCTCGTCAATCATTTCACATTTGCTCAAGTTGTTACACAGGTTTGCCCTTCCTGCAGCTGGGCACAAAGGCTGAAAACTGGCTGCAGCCCCCAGATGTGCAGAACTTCTCCCGCCCCTTTGCAGCCCTGCTTCTGCTGTCTGCTAAGTGCCCTTCCTCCCTCCGAGCAACAGCAGTGCCTGCTGTTTGCAGCAGCACATCCCTTCTCGACAGCTCTCCCCCTAATCAGGGCCATGCTTTTGCACAAGCAGTGGGAAGTCCAACTATGTAAGAAGTAAACTCATCCCAGATTTAGAACTGGCAATCGCTGAGAAATTAACCTTGGGTTTGAGGAAGTGAGTAACTCCTCCTGGCTTGCAGGCAGTCTCCACAGACTTCCCCCAATGTGCCATTCCCATGAACGCCTGCATTTATGCGTCAGCCAGGCTGCAAAGGTTCTCTTGAGTTAATCTTGACCATTTTTCCGAAGAGGAGACTTGATTCCTGCTTCCATTTCCAAGCACAGAAATCTAAATTCCACCTCTGAGTGCTGCAGATTACAAAACTACTCTATGTAAAATTGTGCATCAGGTCCTCCTTGCAAACTGGAACAAATCTGGGAAATAGAGCTGTACCAGTTTACAAAAGCTTGCATGTATGCGGGTGAGTTATCATCATGACAGGGCTCTGACAGCTTAAATGGCAGTATGTAAGCAGCAAAGCTTATTATGGATACATTATATGTCATTTACATATGTGATATATATGCATCCAAACAGAAATATACATATATATGCACTTTTTTTCCCTCTCACAGGTACATGTTCACAAACTGCTTGAACCTTAAAATATCTCTTTGTATGTTAATTATGGAAGACAGGAATCTTTCATGTAGTGCAAGGCAAATTGATCACTTACACATACTGCAGCATTTTCTTTCTACACAGAGATGAAAACTATAGCATTTACTTGCTTTTACACCCTAAAAAACAGCCACGTCTATGGACATGTCACATTTAACTGATACCGGAGGAATCATGAGAATCTTTGAAAACCCTTTTAAAAAATAATTCAGCCTCCCTTTCTGCCACTGACATTTTTCATCTGAAAAGGGTTCAGACACAGTCAAACAGTGACTTCTTATCTGTACCTGTGGATTTACAAGCAGGCCTGTCTTTTAATGGATTAAGAACGACAAACTTGGGGCAGATCATCCGGTGATATCCAAAAACCTACCTAAGTTTTAAGGTACACATCATTACACTTTATATTTTAAATAAGATTAATAACACAAATCTTATATCTGATAAGTATTTCAGGTTTGAGGCAGACATAAAAATGAGCTGCTATTTTCCAAAAGTGTATTTTTTTTCCTCCCTTTGAGAGTTGAGTAAGTTAATATAAATTCTTTCTCTTTTGTTACAGTCCCGTGCTGTAGTTTGGGTGATACCTTCCAGGATGTATTAATGCACTGGATGCACTGCAGATGGGATGGCAACACACAGAGCTGTACTGGAGTTGTTGTATTTCCCTTCCACCAAGACCACCATAAAAGAGAGCAGCAGATTGCAAACAGAATTACAAATCATGCTGCTTCATAAGCTTTTATTTTCCTTGATCATCTTTTCTAAATAAGATAAATTTCTCTATGGTCACCACTAACAGCGTCCATTTTTAATATGATGGATGTATGTACGCGATAGGAGTTGCAAAGAATAACCTCCTGAAGTGTTCTGGCAAACCATGTGTTTTGGTTACACTCATGCAAGGTGCAGCACATTACAGTTTGATCCTTTCCAAGACCATTGTCACCAAAAATCATTGGTCAAGAAAGAAAACCTAATGCTAAGGGAGGATAATTTAAAAAATAATACAGCAAAGTAAGGTCTACAAGCATCTGCTAAGATTATTTTTTTCCTAACAGACCCACCTTCATCCCTTTTGTAGAATCACAGCATACACTCCTTTGTCTGCACTAAACAGGGGAAGGCCAGGGGCCAATACAAGGGTTTGTAGAAGAAAGATTGCAAATGTCACTATTAAAAATCCTCTGATGAATATCCCCTGACCACTGAGCAAAGAGTCAGCAACTTTCCTGTGTTCATTTACAACCTTTTGCTCCTCTGAAATTTCGTATTTGTTAAATGGTATCAAAACTGTGATAACAGATTACATCAGGAAGAGTGGCTGAGATTTCTATGCCATACCAGCACTGGCAGCTATAAGAGCAAAGCCTCAGCCAGCACTGACTCTTCACAGGTGAAGTAGTGTTCTTTTATTATTATTTGGGGGGATTTGTTTGTTTCTTTCCCCAGCTTCTACTTCAGGAGAACACTTGTTTTCAGCTTGCTGAGTAAGTTTATACAAAATATTTGAGACACATAGTATGGGCTAATCAATTTTGGTAAAAGATAATGCTGTTAGTGCTGTGGGCTGTTTCTCTTATCTTGTTGATGTAGCATACTTTAAAAGTCTGTGATTACTCAAAGACTTATGATAGCTGCACTGTAAAAGAAGCCCCGAGTCATGACTCACTAGTAGAGCTACAAAACATCCCATGGCTTTTAAGATATTAGGCCACCTTGGTGGATACAAAACCAGAATGAAATGACTCAATTTAGGACTCTTTCCTGCCATTAACATCTTGTCTTAGGGAGTCACAAAGGGCTTGCATAAAACAGGAGGTGGAGGGTTAGTTTAACTTGTCTTCTTGCATAGCAAGATCAGAATCATTTTTTAAAATTCATGTATAGTGTAGATGAATCTGACAACAACTTTTGACCCTTAGGAGGATTTGACCACAGTTTGAATAGCAGAAAAATTCAACTGTATATGGCATTTCTGAACAAAAGAGCTCTGGCTTTCATCCACCTGCCCACACTTTGGAACAATAAACAGAGGAGTCCATATCTGAAAGTGAGTGAAGAGCTGAGTTTTAGGATAGAAAAAGGACATTACTTCGTTCAGAAACAGCTTTAACCAGATTTACAAATGTTTAACATTTCTAAGAAAGTCACTGATAGCTTTGGCTGCAGTGGGGCTTTTTGTTTTGTTTTGTTTGTTTTTGTTTTTATCTTGAATAGCTCTCTAAGTGGTGTCAGCTGAAAAGGATGAGCAAGCTCTTTCTCCACTACAATTATGGACTGGTTACTTGACATGCACTAGCAAATGGCTCCTTCTTTGCATATTTCCTACGCATAGCCACCTGGCTCCGTTAATGAATATTTTTGCACAGCAGAGAAATAGTGTGTGTCATAGTTTCAAACGAGGACTGCTCTGAAGTCATAGCTAACGAGTGGAAAACACTCTCACAAGTTCTCAAACGCTGCCCAGCTCAGATCCAAAGATCTGCAGCATTGCTGTGTGCACAGAACAAATTTGTAATTAACGCTGGAACCAGCTAATATGTTTACTTTTGCACACAGCAGTTCAAAGAGGGCACAGAACTATCCTTCTTCCACTCATGTGATCCTTAACGAGGCATGTCCAATATGAAATGCTCATCCACTTACTTGGCAGGCATAAACTGCATTATTGAGATACCTCCTCTAAATTCTCCTCCCTCAATTTTCAAGTCTCTGAGACATAACACACTCTAAACTACAGTTTCGAACATAAACTTGAAATATGGCGTTCTCTATTCAAGTACTCCAGTCAAACCCTGATAAATCAGGCTGGCCATGCAGTGATCTTATCCGTTCTGACTCTTTAATAAATCGAACCTTGTAAGTTCACGCTGTTGGAAGTTGTCACTAAATGAAATTGTGACCTTATCCGATGTGTGAACTTATCCTGCTGACAACATTTACTGTGTGGATAAGAACAACAACAACAAAAAAACAACCAAAAACCAATCAACCAACAAACAAACAAAAAAGACTTTGGATAATTTTGATCTCAGCCATATGTAACAGATGGGATATTTTTGATGTTCCATTACTGATTTGCCTATGATGAGACTACTCTGAAAAAAAATAATGTGCTTCATAGGTAAGCAGTTAGGGACATGGGCAAGCAGTGTGCACAAAGAGGCAGTGGCTGACAGCA